TGTTTGTTCTGAAGTACACATTTGTTTGTTTGTTTGTTCTGAAGTACACATTTGTTTGTTTGTTTGTTCTGAAGTACACATTTGTTTGTTTGTTTGTTCTGAAGTACCCATTTGTTTGTTTCCTTGTTTGGAAGACAGTCTAGGCAGCATATGCAGTCAATGTTGTTGGTATATGAAGCCAGTATAGTTAGTACATGAAGCCAGTATAGTCAGTACATGAAGCCAGTCTATGAAGTCAGTCTACAATATCAAAAGTATCTCTGATAAGGGCATGTGGCCGAGTGTCAGGCAAGGGACGAGTCTCTGTTCTATGCAGATAAAAACGGCCATGTATGTAAAAATCAACAGCACAGTGAAAGGAAGATCTTCCTCTGAGCTCTAGCAGAGGTACACAGGAGAAGATTACTTGTAACAGTTCAGCACTGGAACATTCTTCATGTCATCCCCGGTCTGGACACAGAGGTGGGAAAACAATGTTCATGAACGAAGAAAAAAAAAATCATGAAAACGCCTCACTGTTTTTGAGTTTAAGAGAAATATAAAAAACAATCATTAAAAAATAAATAAAATGGAGAGATAATGAGAAACTAAAAAAATAAGATGGGAGAACAAAGTGTTAAATCATTACAAACAAAGGTATCGCGATGTTCAAAAGTGCGCACTTTCCTGCTGCACCATCAATGTACAAAAGTGCGCACTTTCCTGTTGCACCATCAATGTACAAAAGTGCGCACTTTCCTGTTGCGCCATCAATGTACAAAAGTGCGCACTTTCCTGCTGCACCATCAATGTTCAAAAGTGCGCACTTTCCTGTTGCACCATCAATGTACAAAAGTGCGCACTTTCCTGTTGCACCATCAATGTACAAAAGTGCGCACTTTCCTGTTGCGCCATCAATGTACAAAAGTGCGCACTTTCCTGTTGCGCCATCAATGTACAAAAGTGCGCACTTTCCTGTTGCACCATCAATGTACAAAAGCAAAATACAGAAAAGGAGAGACAGGCCCTTAACAATGCTGCATGGTTAGTTTTACAGAAAAGAAAGCGAGACTCCAAATGTAAGCTGAAATCATTTCTGTTTTTAAATTGATAAGATGAATATTTGGAGTGATTTTCTTTCGGTCAGAACACAACGTTTTATGTTACTGTTGTACGTTGTACTGTATTGTAAAGCGCTCAGAGCCTGTGTACTTTAATCGGGGTTGAGCGCTATATAAATGTCATTTATTATTTATTATTTTCATTACGGGTTGCACGAGGACGTTGTTTTTCCCGTAGAGCAGCGTGAGCTTGGAGTTCTGGTGCAGCGACTCCACGTACTCTCGCGCCGACAGGTGGAACGTCTTTGGGTCACGGGCGTCCTCCGTGGCGTTACTGGCATCTCGCCGGATCTGGGGGGGGAGAGGGGGAAGGAAAATGTCGGCAATGTTTTACAGGAAGGACAAGAGGGGAAAAAGTCTTTTTCATTTGGGATTTTTCAAGAGGACTACTATAGGAGCTGTGCGCTGCATATGTTCTTTGTATTATTGTCCAGTGCACTGAGCACTTCTTTGTGGAAATGCACTATATAAATGCAATTTATTATCATTATTATATTAGAAAGAGTTTTACGGCACTTGCAACAAAATTACGTCATACAAAATCCGAAGATTAGAGGTGTTATAAGATAGAACAAAAACATAAATAAGAAGGAGGACAGATAAGGACAATAGATGGTTGATAGGAAAGAAGGAGCAAACCACACCAGAGCACCCGCCAACCCCCAGCCGTAAAAATCTACGTGGGTCACCCACTGTTGAAATAAGTAAAAGAAAAATCTTTCGTACAATACGTCCCCGCGACCCATGATAGCCCCACAGAGGGCGGCAACCCTCAACGTGCTCTGTCAGTCAAGTAAGCTCTCTATGGAGGGCTCAACTGGACTTTTATCGCAAGAGGACAAACAGAGAAAAAAATAAACTGCCAGATGGACGGGTGAGAAGGTTTCAGCACATAAAACGTGTATGTCATTAACTTCCTGTCCTGTTGTGTGTATGCATGATTGTCACTGTCACTGTCACAGGAACTCCTCCAACCACCCACTCACTGACCTGCAACCCTTGACGTTTGGGCGAGCCAGGGGAGGTGAATCCTCCCGAGTGTATCCGGTGCCGTTGGACCAACTCATCCGCAGGTGGATCGGTCCAGAAGTGATCCGTTGTCTTCATCTTGGTGTAGTCCAATGCACAAGGGCCGACTGAGGGGAGAGGTGAGAGGTTATGCCCCCTGTGTCAGGTAGTTTTGTTTTAGTAGAGGTTTTACGGCACTCGCAGCTGCATAAAGTCATATGAGCGCCAAGGGGTGGGTGTCAACAGAGAAGCCCAAACAGGGAATCAGACTTACTCTGCTCTCCTCTCTAGCTTCAACAGCACAAAGTCTGCTTCGACTATCAAGGCACCCCAGAAACAGCAGCTCACAAGAGTGTGACAAACATACAAAAGAAGTTGATGGAAAAAAGACGATAGTAAGGATCAGGAAAGAAAAAGCAGCAGTTCCCTGTTGCAGTGCAGGCACAGTTATGAGCATGACATTGATGAATCAGCCCATTTACAATTACAATTCTACTGTGCATAAGAACTTGAGATGCTAATGTCCCCCCTTCGGGAATGGTCTAAAGACGTGTTAGGTAGGATACCTTAGGCTCATTATAAACAATGCGCGTGTTTCGTCTCTTGTTGTGTAAGTTTTTATGACTTTATATTAATACATGTTACAGGAGTTGATATCATGACAATGTATTACTTCATATGTATATTGTTGTGGACCTTATACGTGCAAAAGTACTGGCATTATATTATTTTTTCTTTTCAATAAAAATAATAAACTTGCTTCCGGGGAAGCTGAGAATGTTTCTTGTTGTTTTATGTCAGCTGGGGTAATAATATGTGAGGCAGCGTGGTGGAATCAAGCGCTCGTCAATTTTTGGGCATGTGGAGTTATTGGTATCATCTTAAAGGTTATTCATTTGCCTTTATTTGGATGAAAAAAATATCTATTTATCTTGAATACAGGTCAAGATATTTGCGAATGAAGGAGGTGGGGGTCACCTGTTTTCAGAGGTAAAGTTAGTGAGAAAATGGCCGCCAAAGATTAGTTATTTCCTTAGCTTAAGAGTCCGTGGTAACTGAACATTTTACATTTTTTGTGACTTTAATCAACGTTTTTCAGAAAAATCCAAACAGAAATGAGTTCTTTAATGGGCATGAAAGGTGTTGAGCCAAAAAACAAAAATTTGATAAAAATTCACAAACCTGCGGAAAAATGCACTTTGATTATTTTGACGAGAGCCTGATTCTACCACGCTGCCTCACATATAGTGTGTTAAGCGTAGAAGACTTGCTGTAGAGCGGGAATATGAGCTATACACATGCTATTTATTACTATTATTATCATTAAAGAGGGTGTGGCACATGGATCCCCCCAGGGCATTTTGCGACTTTGGACCGTGTAAACTAGTGCACTCACCCAGCAGAGATGCAAATATTGGCCCATCCACGGGGTCAGAGATCAGTGCTTCCTGCTCGTAGTACTTGCTGGAGACACACAAGACACACGCTGTTATGTAGTGTCATACGACACAAGTCACACGCTATTACATACAGTCATAGTACTTGATGGGGACACAAGACACACGCTGTTACTTACAGTCATAGTACTTGATGCGGACACACAAGACACACGCTGTTACATACATTCATAGTACTTGACGGGGACACACAAGACACACGCTGTTACAGGGGTACAGCTCTTTCCAAGAAAATCACAGACCATTGTAAATAATATAAACAACAGCAACAACAACAACAATAATAATAATAATAATAATTATAATAATAATAATAATAATAATAACAATAACGATGGGAATATATATCGCGCCTAATCCATAGAAGTCTCAATCCGCTGTACAGAACTATCATCTAACCCTTCCAGCCCCATGTGCGTTTATTTTCAGCATCGCTTGTACCTCCCACCCTCCCAAGAGCGTATATTCTCTCTGTTTCGGGGTACTGAATTTGCGCATTTTTCGAAATCAGCAAACCTAAATAAACTTTAATTTTCATAATATTTCTTCATTTACCTTTCAACATTGTTATATGTTATTATCTATCTCAACCTCATTACAAAGATACTCCATCATTTTATAGAAGGCATGCCTCTTTTTCTGAAACACTGCAGTATTGGCTGGGGGGACTGGGGGGACTGGGGGGACTGGGGTTAGGGAGTGCACAAAAAAAGACCGAGGCTGGAAGGGTTAATACAACTCATAGTTTTTTATATCAAATGACAAAAAATGCACATTGTGAGACCATTTAACTACACAC